ATCTGTGTGTGGCGCTTGGGACGAGCGTGAAGGAGCAAGACTAGCTGAGGACGAGAACACTAGTTGATGGCGCCAAGTCCCGCGGGAACAATGACAATTATCACTCAAAATCCGCGACTTTTAGCATACATATTGAAGCGTATAAATATAAATCAATACAGAAAGATGGTGATTGATCCTGACGGAGAATACATCAGTCTATATAGATTTCCCAACATGCACAGTTTTCACGAAGTTGAGAGGATTACCGCCAGATGGGTCGGTTGTAGCAGGGATTGACAGTAGCAGATTGACAGTCACAGTGGTTAGTAATCTCGCCATTACTGCCGTTAATCGCAAAAGTTAATTAAACGGAGAGTACCTACTAGCAGGAATGGAAACCCGAGGGCTTTGTGGTTGTATTTAATTTCGGACCTGCAAGGTAGCAATCAATGCCTTGGTGCAAACGTAACCCCCCCTTAGATAACGTCATTTCATAGCCCGTTATCTGAAAGTTTTATACAAAATTCCTGTCGCATGGCATTTTAATTAGTCGCGTATAAACTTTAATATGATGCGAGCGGTTCTTGGAACTTATATATACCGTAGTTAGTTACTTTTAGAGAAAGCGAATTGTCTGGAACACTTAAACTGGTGCCCTGGAAACACAAACCGAAACTGTCTCTATTTTCCGCTTGTTACAACTTGTAATAAAGTTGTTACATCTTGGCTTAACGTGTTTATGACGTATTAGAACGTTGTTACAACTTGCTATATTGGTTGTTATAACTGGTTAGGAGGTGTTAAAACTTGTTCGAACGTTGTACCAACGTCGTAGTTTCGGTGTGTGTGTTTGGCGGGTGGTAAACCCCGCTGGGTGAACCACGTCTACAAGGATTTGAGAAAGCACAGGTGATACGATCTGTCTTGAGGTGGTTGTCGGGATCAGCGTTCCAACGGCCCGGTCTCTCAACAGCCCCTCCTCCCTCCAACCCCATGATAGTTTGGTCAAGCAGGCTAGTTAGATGCCCCTGCACGCAGTCTGACATGAATTACACCTGAAGGGAATTTTTTAGTGGTGGAAGCTTTGTTTGGAAGTCAAGTTCTTGTTTGGTCACGGAACGCGTTAGTGTTTTATACACTGGTTCATGGCATGAACGACCAGTTACGTGTGTGGGGGGCTTGTTCTCTGTGACTATTGTGGAGTGGAGGTAGTTCCATCACCACAGATGTTGAGTTAGTACCAGGTCTTCACCACAGGTGTTGGGTTAATACCAGTCCCTCACTGTGACGTATATACCAGCGATAATATCGCAATATTTCTGTGTTGTTGTGTTTTTTGACATGGGATACAGACTTTGCTGTTCGCTCACCAGAGACTATAGTGAGGAGAGAAACTTGAAAGGCGATTCATGCTGGGACTAACCAAGGGAAGGGTTATTGACTCGTGTGACAACAAATATTATTGTGTGGTGGAAAGTGTTTATGCCACAGCCTGTACTCCAGCCGCGTCTTGTAGGAACATTGGTTGTGTATCGTGTGTGTGTGTGTGTGTGTGTGTGTGTGTGTGTGTGTGTGTGTGTGTGTGTGTGTCTGTGTCTGTGTGTGTGTGTGTGTGTGTGTGTACTCACCTAATTGTGCTTGCGGGGGTTGAGCTCTGGCTCTTTGGTCCCGCCTCTCAACTGGTGTACAGATTCCTGAGCCTACTGGGCTCTATCATATCTACCTATCTATCGTATGTGTGTGTGTGTGTGTGTGTGTGTGGTAAACGAAGACAATGCTGCGGCTGGGTGGCCAGAACACGCAGACCAAGGACACGGTGCAGCGGCTCTTGAGGACCAAGTCTTCGCGGGTGACTTTAGTGCCCCGGGTGCAGGGCGCTTGCTCGCAAGTCTGGCAGAGGTTCGGGCTGGTGCGAGTAGACGGAGAGCGGACGGAGATGGTGGCCTGCACCTCCTGCTACCGCGTCCTGACCCATCGAGGGCGGGACGGCACCTCGGGCCTCCGCAAGCATGTCTGTCCGCCCTTCACGCCCACTCTCCGCCCAACGGAGAGTGGGCGTGAAGTGACTTTTCTTTCGTCTTTTGTTTTTCACCTTCTTGGCTAAAACTGTTGATAAATGTCTTTCGCTGTCGCCTTCCTTAATCTTCGTTAATCCTCCTATGAGGGGGTACTAGGAGTGTGTGGGGAGTGGGGTCCCCTTGTAGTGTGGGGGGGGGGGTCCCTTCGTAGTGATTGATGAAGATTAAGCCACCCAAAAGGTGGCACGGGTATGAATAGCCCGTAAGTGGTGGCCCCTTTTGAGCCATTACCAGTATCAAGAGCTGATACTGGAGATCTGTGAAGGTGCGACTGCACCCTGCGTGACGGGAGATGTCTCCCGTGAGGAGCTGATACTGGAGATCTGTGGAGGTGCGACTGCACCCTGCGTGACGGGAGATGTCTCCCGTGAGGAGCTGATACTGGAGATCTGTGGAGGTGCGACTGCACCCTGCGTGACGGGAGATGTCTCCCGTGAGGAGCTGATACTGGAGATCTGTGGAGGTGCGACTGCACCCTGCGTGACGGGAGATGTCTCCCGTGCCCTCGTAGTGTGTGGGTGAGGCCTTTTATACATGGAGGAGTGCTTCTTTTAGCATGGGGTGTGGTGGGGGCTCCTAATATCGTCGGAGCGGCCTTTCATCGATGAAGCGGCCCCACATATCGTGAGAGGGGCTCCCTTATATATTCGGAATGGGGGAGCCCTCGTCGTGGACAGCTAACAGCTTCCTACCACTTGGGCTAGTCGATAGAGTGACGGTCTCGTTTCATGCAGGTCAGCGTTCAATCCCCGACCGTCCAAGTGGTTGAGCACCATTCCTGCCCCCCCCCTTCCCGTCCCATACCCAAATCCTTATCCTGACCCCTACCTAGTGCTATATAGTCGTAATGGCCTTGCGCTTTCTCCAGATAGTTCCCTCGTAGTGAGAGGGAGGTCATTTCGGAGTATGAGTATGAGGCGTATGCTGGTGTTCGATATCAACTCCTAGATCTTTCTAGGAGTTGATATCACACCAAACCTGTCTCCTGAAGCCCACATAAAAAGAATAACGTCTGCGGCATATGCTAGGCTGGCTAACATCAGAACAGCGTTCAGGAACCTGTGTAAGGAATCATTCAGAATCTTGTACACCACATATGTAAGACCAATCTTAGAGTATGCGGCCCCAGCATGGAGCCCGTACCATGCTAGGGCCGCAAGCATAAGACAAAGCTGGAAAAAATCCAAAGGTATGCCACTAGACTAGTCCTAGAACTAAGAAACTTTGCCCATTTGTTTCTGCCTCGTGCGGGAATCGAACCCGCGCCACAGAATTACGAGTCCTGCGCGCTATCCACCAGGCTACGAGGCCCTAAACTTGTGTGTACTCACCTAGTTGTGTTTGCGGGGGTTGAGCTCTGGCTCTTTGGTCCCGCCTCTCAACCGTCAATCAACAGGTGTACAGATTCCTGAGCCTATCGGGCTCTGTCATATCTACATTTGAAACTGTGTATGGAGTCAGCCTCCACCACATCACCCCCTAATGCATTCCATTTGTCAACCACTCTGACACTAAAAAAGTTCTTTCTAATATATCTGTGGCTCATTTGGGCACTCAGTTTCCACCTGTGTCCCCTTGTGCGTGTTCCCCTTGTGTTAAATAGACTGTCTTTATCTACCCTATCAATTCCCTTCAGAATCTTGAATGTGGTGATCATGTCCCCCCTAACTCTTCTGTCTTCCAGCGAAGTGAGGTTTAATTCCCGTAGTCTCTCCTCGTAGCTCATACCTCTCAGCTCGGGTACTAGTCTGGTGGCAAACCTTTGAACCTTTTCCAGTTTAGTCTTATCCTTGACTAGATATGGACTCCATGCTGGGGCTGCATACTCCAGGATTGGCCTGACATATGTGGTATACAAAGTTCTGAATGATTCTTTACACAAGTTTCTGAATGCCGTTCGTATGCTGGCCAGCCTGGCATATGCCGCTGATGTTATCCGCTTGATATGTGCTGCAGGAGACAGGTCTGGCGTGATATCAACCCCCAAGTCTTTTTCCTTCTCTGACTCCTGAAGAATTTCCTCTCCCAGATGATACCTTGTATCTGGCCTGCTCCCTACACCTATCTTCATTACATTACATTTGGTTGGGTTAAACTCTAACAACCATTTGTTCGACCATTCCTTCAGCTTGTCTGTGTGTGTGTGTGTGTGTGTGTGTGTGTGTGTGTGTGTGTGTGTGTGTGTGTGTGTGTGTGATTAACTTGTTGCATACATAAACTAAGAGTATGTCCTTGCGTTCGTCCGTCGCTACTTGGTTTAATCTGGTTACTTTAGCCTGAAATAACATATACAATTTAATTTTGTTACATAGAGTATGTTTTCCTGTTACAAGCACTTAATTTTTTAAGGGGGGGGGGGGCATCCGGTTATCACACGCAATTTTGTCTTTGACAAAATTTCCATGTGATTCGGGGAAAATTCAACTTGAAGTGAGGCAATACCTGTTCAAATGCGGTTGACTTGTAGAAAAAGAAGGCCGAAAATCGGTTTAAAGTGATAAACCAATCTGGAAATTATTTATTATGAAACATGAAATTGTCACCTAACCTTATGGCAGTAAAAACATTTATTTTTTTTCCTGTAACTGGTGTTCAGGATGAAATTGCCGCAGGGCAATCCTTGTATAATACGTAAACTGGACGGAATTTGATAGTTCCGAGTATCATAGCTGATTATAGGATTTCGTAGCCGTCATTGCTGCAAATCTAATTGTAGGATTGAATTGATCCAATCGAATTGGATGAGGCTGCAAATCGAGTTGCAGCCTCGTCCTCCCTCAAATTCATTAATTAAGAACTAGGCCTACATCCTTTGTGCACATGGAATCCAGTATGTCTGTGTTTTAGGCTCTGAGGCGAGTGTCTAGTGTGTCTAAGAGTCTCTAAGGCGAGTCTCGAGGTGATAATTGGTAATTTAATAAAATTTCTCTCGTTTGGTAGTGCCGGATCTGGTAGAGCGGTTGACAGGGGTCACCCCAGGGGCCGCCACAGGCAAGCCGGAGGAGTCGGCCGACGACGAGGATGAAGACCTTGGCGATGGGGTGAGCCTCATGGACACTGAACCAGTGCTGGATCATGACTACCTCAACGAATCTCAGGACGCAAAGGGCAGAGGCTTCCAGCAAAATACTCAGCTCACTTCCAGCGGTAAGTACATGACTTAGCTTTTTATATTTTTGATAGCAGTCACGACGGTAAGTATTCCACTTGGCACCTTTAAAATAGGTTTATTTTGACAAGGTTGTAATTATTGTTGGCTAATGGCCTCGGTGGAAAGAACTTTCACAATAGAGACTCGCAGTTGAACGAGTGTTAATCAAGAAGTTGAATGGGAGATAGATAATCAACCTAACGGATATGATTATATGCCAACTGGAAAAAAAGCAACAGCCCACCATTTACTGTTATACATTAAATAAGTCAAACTGAACAAAATATAATTCGAAGAAGGATTGATGGCCCCTCGCAATCCGTGAAACAATCACGGAAACTGTTGTACACAGGCACTCGAGGCAACATTAGCAGCTGCGTTAGAAACTCAAACGGAAGCATCTAAGAGACATTCCCATCGTGTACCAAAAAAACGATCCCAAAGAAGCTACTATCATGGTGTATGTAGCATTCTGCAGCTGGGGACCAGAGTTCCTAGTTTCAATTTTGGGAGCCAGAGGTGGAACAGCATTTGTAGCCTTGGCTACACAGACAACTTGAGCCCTCTACTCTTTTTATTATTGGGACCCTAGGCATACAAATAAATGTAGGTGCCGAGACATCATTATTGTAACTCGTCCTTCTAGCAATATGGTACCTATATTGACTGCCACGACTTGGTAAGGGTCCAGGGCGGACCAAAACGTCCTCACTTTAATTTAATTTCACTTGTGTGGGTTGAGTTATTAGTGGGTGTAGTTATTTTGGAGGCGAGTCCAGGCCTAGGATTCATCAAGCCTTTACCCATCAACTATCGAAACCCTTTACATTTTTCTGCTAGCATGGCGGCTTTGTTTACATATACAGTACTGTATTAGACCATTCACCAGCTTCGAAGCTTCACAACCTAAGGTTAAGGAGGAAAGATGTACAGGTTTGGCAAGGACATAGTTTTTAGCATTTTCAAAAACAGTCTTGCTAGTTCACGCATGCTCATGATTCTTCCAGAACCCCCTAGTGCTCCTCTTGGGTTGAGCCGGCATGGACGAGATTGTCGCGAAGCAATCACTGACCTAGGAGGGGTAGACACACTTGGTCGTGTTATGTACCCAACAGTTGCTCGAAAATATACAAGTACAATATTATTCTGCTGAAGTCCTTGTAACAGAAATTTTTTTCTCTGGAAGACTCGCAGTGGAACCCATCGACCCTCTCGATCATGCATGGCGGCCTCGGCATATACCCGGCCCCATCTTGTTGCTTTTCATTTATTATTACCCCTCTTTTGTATATGATAAGCTGGTTAAAGGTATTCTAATGGACCACCTCGTTAACTGAGGTGCACGACCCTTGAAGTAGGTTTTGACACCTACTTCACTATTTTTTTCTCCCTTCCTATTTATGCTACGATGCTGAGACTAAGACCAGATGAAACCCTTTCATATACAACTAGTCAAAAAAGTTTGATTGAAATCGAACTAGTTTTCATTTAATGCATTTTTTTGGAAATCTGGAGCCCTTGCCCCCTTTGAAGGTGGATGTGCTTAACAGTGACTACAGCGAAGGGAGGTGTAGCTCCTTGTGCCCGGCCTACCTGACTTGTTTGCCTGTTCTATTATACTTTAACTTCCTTATCGTTCGATTTCTTTGGCGGAACGTATTTAATTATATCTCTTAAAGTTGTTTGAATTCCAGTTTTCACTTGTCCTACTTTCAATTTAAAGAGGCTGTCTTTGTCCATCTTGTCTATTATCCTCAGTATCTCGTAGGTTGTGGTCATATCCCCCGTTTCTTCCCTCCCCTAGGGTTGTGAAGTCCAGTTCCGTTAACGAATCCTCGCAGCTTGATCCTCTTAGCTCAGACACTAATCTTGTTCCAGGCCTCTCTATTTCTTCAATTTTGGTTTTATGGTTCAAAGTTATATTCACCTAGTTGTGCTTGCGGGGGAGTTGAGGTGACGGATGTTTGGTGGGGATGGTGTGTGAAAGAGGGGGATGGGGGGTTGTGTTTGGGGTGTTGGAATACTGTGATGGGATGGGGGTGTAGGGGTAATGTATGGTGATAGAGGTGGAGGGGTGGACAATGATGATGGTGGAGGAGGGAGTGTTGGTGTGGTGGTGGAGCGGGTGTGGCTGTGTACCTTTGATGGAGATACTTTGTGATGTCGTAACGTAGTGTTAAAATATTTATTTAAAAATATTGAATCGCAGTTAGTAGACTTTCGATTGTATTTATTTACTGATAAAGTCGCAAGTGAATGTTTCCGAAGGTGGACATGGTGGTGTTGGAGTGTACGCGCATGCGGGCGCTGGAGCGTGCGTTTCGAGCGTTGGAGCGTGCGTTTCGTGCGTGGGAGCGCGCGTTTCGTGCGTGGGAGCGCGCGTTTCGTGCGTGGGAGCGCGCGTTTCGTGCGTGGGAGCGTGCGTTTCGCGCTCTTGAGCATGCGTTTCGTGCGTTGGAGCGTGCGTTTCGTGCGTTGGAGCTTGTGCAACAGTTGGGAGAGTGGCGTCCACCAGGGCGGTCCCGTGTTTGCTTAAGTTTCGCTGCTAAAAATGTAATAGTGTTCCATATTGCAGTTGAGCTTGACATCAGGAGGACCTCCACGATACTCCACCATTTGTGAGAGTAATGGTGGGGGGGGGGAGGGGATGGGGGGGTGCGCGCGCGCTCGTCCATAGAGGGTTCGCAGGGTGCGTGGTGCGTCAGCATGGCGCAGTAATGACAAAAGTATTGATTCCTGCGCAGCCCGCAGCCCGCGCTTGGCTCCCCGCGGCAGGCGAGGCACTCCCACTAAGATACGGCGGTGGCACTCCTTGGCTCTTATGTGGTATGGTGGCGCCGGCTGCGCTGCCCCATGTCAGTATAGAATTCAGTTGTGATGGCAGCTCACGTATCCTAGTAACTGTTATCTTCCACCAAAACAACCAGCCTTTCTAGCCTGGTGTGTGCTCGTGGGGGGGGGGGGGGTGAGGGGGGATAGCGAAGGGGGAGGGAGCAGGGGCTGCTGCGCTCTGCTGTGTGGCGCAGTGTCTGCCCTCACCCCGCGCTGGTCGCACCCTCCTTGTGTTAGCAGTGTTGTCGGTCCTACAGTGTTAGGGAGGCCTCACACTACAGCAGGCATATGTCCCAACCTGCTGCTGTGGGGGCGCAGTGAATACCCGGACCGTGGAGCAGTTAGTGCCTTGCCTCCCTTCCCCCCTCAGTGCCAGTCTCCTCCCTGCCTGGGGGCGCCTCGCCACGCGACCTATGATTCTAATCGTCACATTGTTAATTGATAGCGTGGCAGTTGCATATGAATAAGATTAGAACACTTTTCTTCGTGTCAGTTTACACGAGGCTGCGTTATTGAAAAACTTGAAATTACCGATCAGTTGGACGCTCCATAACGTGGTTAGATATACAAGTCAAAGAAATCGCTGTTTAGACGTGCGTATAACAAGTGAGTGTCTGTCCCCCCCCCTCTCCCCGCTCGTCAGTTGCCACTGTGCAACTGGACTCTTAGAGTCTCCAGCTCCAACCTCTGACAACTGTTGACACTCCTTCATCACTAATTGTTTCCAAGACAACTGGAAGCCGATTGTTTCGTTTTGGGTTGAGATAGCCTAATTTTCATCCCTCTTGAACTTAATTTCACACTAAACCTGCTTTCTCATACATTCTACTGATGATTTATCGTCTATATTGAGACATTGAGATTCGAATTATATCATATTATTGCTAAACATCTCCGTTTCTATAGCCATATATATAGCTTTCTACACAAATTATTGCATCTTTTATGTTTATTGCAACATGTCAGAAAGTTTCAACGAAATTCAGGCCGCAGTCGCTAAAATCTGTCAGCGTTGAAGTGGTAGGGTTGAGAGCCACAGGAGGTTGTAGTGGTGACGGTGTTGGTGGTAACCGCGGGCATGAAGGCAGCCCGGCCCCGCTCCCCCTCCCACGCCGCCAAGAACAAGACTCCCCAGGACCGCGTGTGGGAGTTCGGTTGCGTCCTGGGAGAACGCAATGGTCGCCTCCTCTGTCGACCGTGCAACCTTGCCCTCGACCACACTCGCAGGTCAACCATCGTCGAGCATCTAAGGTCACTATTGAAGGTCACAAGCAGCCTCTTCAAGTGTGAATGATAAAATTTAAATTTTAAATTTTGCCCCGAGGGGCGAGTTTATTGGGCAGCGCCACTCATCTTGAGTGGACATACCGCCATAGCAGAATGTATATGAATGCATGATGATGTGCAAGTGATCTGAGATGGCTTTTTTTTCATAGGCTTTTGAATACGAGTATTCTGTCATCAGAGACGTTTCCACTTTCTCGTGAAACAAACAAAACTCAGATTTGCTAATAATAATAAGTACCACAAGCTGTTCTAAATTGCTAAATTTCCTTTAGCAAGTTTAATCACAAAACGGTTTGGTTTACGAAAGTGCAGGTGATGGGGTAGTGGTGAAGCCGCTGGCCAAGCCTAGCCATGGCTACTGGTACTGATTGGTTAGGAACATCTCCACGCCAAGACTTGTATGTATATATTATGCAGTATATATGAATTATATGTATGTATATATATTACACAGTATGTATAAATGTTATGTATAACACAGTATGTATGAATTATGTGTGTATAATGTATTTGTAAAATGTATATCTGAAAGGTATGTAAGTAATGTAACGTATGATGTAAATATGTTGTGCATAATGTCTATAAGTGATGAATAATGTATGTATTTATGAACAGTGTATGTGTATTTAAGTAAAGAATGTATGTATACAGTGCGTGTGTGTGTGTGTGTGTGTGTGTGTGTGTGTGTGTGTGTGTGTGTGTGTGTGTGTGTGTGTGTGTTGACAGAGGGCTAGACCTTATAAACCTTCAGCCTACTCAATCATCGTCATAGGCCTACCATCATTAAAAGCTTGTCCAAAATTGTAGTCCAGAAGCTTGGGGCTAGCCTCGCCCAAATTTGTAGGGGAAATGGTCTGGGGTACGGGACGGACATAGG